TGCTAATTGAGAAAACAGAGGTCTATAGGTCAGCCTGATAACAAAGCCTGTGTGTTCAACAGCTTATCATGCTTTTCCCCAAGACAGAGAAATTCAATCTAGAAGACAGTGTGCAAACAAAAGCAAAAAGTTGATCTATTTTGTGTATTGCTTTTAGCATTTAATGATTTCCACAGTAGACAGTTGTACATTAGCCATTTGGAGAAGGTCTACAACTGGCATAAGAACTTATGTGATCTTAAATGCCCATTCCAAATAATTTAGCGAAGGAAGAAGGAATGTGCAAGAGTAAGATATGTTTTTCCATTTCATATTTCCCTCTAGGGCTGAGCTTGTTTCTGACTTGGGAGAAAGTTGCAAAAGAAGCTGGTATTAAACACTGAAAATGATACTCTTCCCAAGGAATAAAATAGCTTTACTGTACCACAGAGAAGAAAGCTCCCCTCTGAGAAAACTCAGGTATGCTGCAATTGCAAAGTGACCTTGGTGGGGGAAAAGCTGATGGTAGCAAAAACCTTTGAGAAATACAAGTTGCTCATGAGTGACTCAGATGTTCCAGTATTGTGCCACAAGCAGCTGTAAATAAAAGCAGGTACTGAGAAATTATTTTAAAAACCTTCCTGTAAAAATATAAATAAAAACAGCTGTATACAACTGAGAAGTATAATCTTACTGAAAACCATGAATGACATAGAATAAGGGAATGTCAATATGAATTTTGTTTTTAAAAGTTCAAATGCTCTGAATGGAGAACTTTCTTCTCTACAAAGATTTTTTATTTTTTGCCTTAAGGTGTGCAATGAAGTGAAGCTAGAATTCATCTTAGAAATAGATTAAGTGGGCTCCAAAGGATTTTTAAGTTTCAGCAAGGAAAGAGAGATTATCAATGAACTGAAGCTAAGATCACAAGCTCTTCATCTGGAAAGAGAAAGAATGAATGATAAGCTGTAGCACAAAACAGAATTCATCTTGGAGATAAAATACCCAAGCTCCAGGGCCCAACATGCCTCACATTTCCTCTGAAGCCTGTCACCTCGTCCTTGCCCGTGATTATCCTGAAGCAGAAAAACTACCTGCAGTGAGCAGAGACCTAAGGAGATGATTCTCAATCTTTAGTCCTCAAAAGTAAAGGGATGGTTAAAATGTAGCTTCTTGGCACACAATCTCCCTAAATAATGAAAAGGTAAGTCAAGTCTGGGTGAGGCCTAGGGCCTTACGTTGCAACAAGCACCCAGAACGAAGGTGCTCAGAGGTATACAACCCAAGTCACTGTCTATCGCTGTAGTCCTCAAACTATTGGTTGTCACCTGTTAATAAGTCTTTAAATCAGCTTCATGCAATTAACATTTGAAAAGAAGCAAAAAATGTCAGTGTATATTGTGCAGCAAATATTTGGATTTATTCTTATATATAAATGTGGGTGTACCTGTGTATTAAATTCGTGAGTACAGTATATTGCAGGCTGTTCACATGAGCTGACAAAGTTGGAGAAGCAGTGTCCTAAGGGGATCTAGTACCACTTCTCTGGACTCCCTTCACTGTTCCTCCCACCCCCATACCAAGTGTCAAGTCACTCCAGCTCCAACTTCCTCCCACTTCTGCATAGGCAAAAAGAAAAAAAAAAAGTGCAGCTGCTTTTCTGTCGTTTCTAAGTGTTAGGAATGACAACTAGTTTTTTGTCTTCAGGAAAAAATGTAGACAACTTGAAAGAAAGCCTTCCAACACCCTGGTGGAGCCTCAGAAATGCAGGATGACAGGAATGAATGTAAACCATTCAGAGACAGGGTATGCAAAGGTCTGAAGGAAGAAAAGAGTGGAGGGAAAAGATGGGTAGAAAAAAGAGTAAACAATGGAGAGTAAGTTGAGGTGCAAGGAACTGGTCATAAGCCAATACTAATTCTTTCTGTAGGAAGAAAATATAGTTATCCATTCCCAGGAAACGGAGTAGCTTTAGCCTTCCAACCCATTCATTAATGAGATAGATCTTTGTCCATTCAATCATGTTCTCTTGATCCAAACTCTAGTGAAAATAATAAGATTCTGTAGGTGTTGACCTGAACACAACCAGCTCCAAACTCTTACCAAGGGGCAAACAGCCATGAGGAAGACAGAAACAGGATAACGTGAGTTAGAATGTTATACTGTTTACTTTACATAGCCTGTTCACTCTTGTCTTTGCAGCTCCTTGGGAATTTCTCTACTGGATCCATTCAGGAAAGTTTGCCAGAGAGGTTTCGTGGATGGAAAACCAGCCCTCATTCTGACTGCCAAACTAAACACTCTGGCTTTAATTATCTTCAATTAGAGAATGAAGTATTTTCTAATTTTCTACCCCCAACCCCCTCCAGGCCACTACACCAAGAATGCCTTTTCTTGAATTTCACAAATGTTTGTGACAGATTTGCAGTATCTTAGAGGGAAGATAACTCAAAATTCTACTAGTAAGTCACTGTGTTTTTTATGTCAGTAATTTTTCTGGGTTCAAAAGACACCCACATGCAAGACAGAAGCACAGTTAACAGTCTACCATTAAGGTTAATGCTTTTGCTAAAGACCATTTCCTTCCCAACTACTTCAACACTGGAGGGGGCTAAGCAACAAATATTTTGCATGGCCAATCAGAGTAACTGAATTCACTTAAAAAAAAGGATACTTGATATGTGAGCATAAATCACTCCAATAATTCCATAGTATCAGGCCACAGGCTCTTTTATTACATCTTCACTTAACTACACAATTTTGGGGTATTATAATTCTAGGATATCACTTATTTTTGAATCTTTTTTTGTTGAGGATCATTTGAGAAGTAACATGAAGCTACATGAGAAATACACTTATTGCTACTATTTAGGACAAAGGACTGAAATAAAAAGAGAAAAAAGCATGTTGTTTATCTGGTCAAGTTGGCCCATCTGTGTCTGATCTTGTGCCCTCCCAATTCACAGATGGCCACAGAAATGTTCCAACCTGTCCATTCACTGCCACTCATTATGCCAATAAGAGGATGACACATTTTTTTTCTTTTTAACAAGATCTATTATCTAGCAGAGCCACTTTTGAAAAACCTCAGCTATAATAACTTCCACATCCACCCTGCTGTCATTATCTTTGCTAAATGCTTTCAGTGAAGGAGGAATAGGAAGACAGCTCTTTTGTATTCCTGCGCTATCAATAATTGTCCTTTGAGGAGACTGCTTCACTCTAGAAGGAAAAAAATGTTTATTTTATACTTGCAATTTCCTTATCTTATAAATGCAGATAATAAACATCTGATAAGAAAGGCTACTATGAAGACTAAAAATATATAGTACATAGGACTTTGTAGGCACTCAGTACATGTTGGCATCTTTTCTCCTTGGGGCTGAAGGAGGGTGGCTTATCAAACATGGTCTGCTCTGCCCAGGCAAAAAGAGAAGAAGAAGGGAAGTCAGTTTACAGATATCTGAGGGAATTAGACACAACACAATTTACATCAAGTATGGTACAGTCTGCAATTCAATCAACAGGGAGTTCTTATAGCCTAATGGCATGTACCAATTAGTATACTAGACCAGGTGACTTACTAAGCAGACATATCAGTTCAAGGTAACTGAATAAACAAGTTCACTTGTGGTATGGGGCTAGACCAGGGTCCTCATTCTAAAACATCAGGAACATCTTTGCTTTTTCTGTGAGTCCACAATTTCTCCTAATGCATGGGGCTCCAATTCTATGCTCTGGTCATGTGGTGATCTTTGCATTCCCACAATGCTATCTTTGATAGCACTTTGCACATGCCTGTCTGTGCTTGGAATGCCTCTTTACCTCCACCTTCATTTGTATGGTCAACATCTACATGTAAGAAGTCTTTCCTATCCCTTTCACAGTGGATAAAGGTCCATCCTCTATACTCCAAGGCTGCCCCGGCTTGCCTCTGTCATTGTCTTCTCACTGTTTCCCAGACTGTCTCTAGTGTAGCCTATGTTTTCCTTGGGATTGCAATACAATTTTTGGAGTAAACAAATGTGTAGTAATCTCTATTAAATGTATGGATGAACATGTGGTGAAAGAAAGAACACAGGATTAGAACCCAACTTTGCAACCCTTTCTTAAATCATACTTTTTTCCCTGTGGAAGTAAGAGGTTAGATTCTATAGGGTGATTAGGGAAATAGATGTCTTTAAAGGAAAAGGGATAATTGGTCTTTTACTTCTTTTCAATCTTACCTCTGAGAAAGATGAACAATCTCTCTGTAAGTAGATTATTAACTACAGGGAGGATTTTGGTTCTCATGAAAATTAGGGTGAGATTGTTACTATACATTCTTATATATTAACAAAAAATAAAACAATAGCTCTAGAAAAAACAAAACGACAGAGACATCTACTCACTACTACTCTCCTTGGCTCAGTGTTCTGTAAACATTGTCACTTTCATATGTCAGGTGTGAACTCTGCCAGAAGCTCAAGAATTCAGCTCTGAGTGCAACAGTGGCTTTATTTCATGAAGTGAGGCAACTCTCACAGTCAGAAATGGAACATAGCCAGGGTTCACCCTATTCTGGCCTGAGACAACTAGCTAATATCTTGAAGAGAATTTTTTTGTCTTCTGAATAATGTAATCAACGACAACAGGCCTATAATTAAATATTAAGCCTACATGAAATGTGAACCTCCTTTTCAGGAAAACTATGTGTATGTGATGTTTAGAAAATATTTCCCTTTCCACTAAAGATGAAATAATAGACTAACTCACCAAAGCTCCATGTGACACTGGAACCCAAATTTTTATGAGCTCTTTGGTCATAAATACATTTTTAGTTCATACACTGCTTGAAAGCTAGTCTGTTTCCTTGGGATCATGTTTGAGAACCAAGTCTCTGAAGATCTACCTTTAAGCTCTTGCTTCTCCCCTTGGCTGAGCCCACAATGTCACTTCCACAGGCTTACAGCACAGCACTCACTCCCTGAAAAATGGGTACTAAATCTGACTGCAGGGAAAGAGAAAAAACCTTAACTAACCTTGTGCAGCTCCACAGGAGTTGGGGACATAATTTCTTTTATTTCTTGTTTCATTTTTCTCAGGGTTACAGACTTCCTGCCCACGTCGGAGGGCAAGGTGTTGCTCCGAGTTGTTTGGCTATAGTGTGGCCGAGAGCTGCTCCGTTCCTGGAAGCTGGCCTGTCGCCCCAGCTGATTTCGAGGTGTTGGAGCCTCATGATTCAAACTCATAGTGCTCCCCGACATGATTGTTGCCTGTGGCATTGACAATTTTCAGAAACAATTAAGCCACGAAGAATGAAAAAGTTTGGTTGCTCAACATTAAGCACAATTCTCCTTCTGCCCAGTGAAAAACAGTCTCTTCAGGGCATAACCAAAGGCTGGAAAATGGACATACAAGTTGAACCATGAAAGTCTGGGAAATGCTTTGCAAGTGACATTTATAAAGCACATCTCAAATCCAATGTAAGTACTTAAGCCTCTGAGTTTATTTAATCAAATACCACCCCTAGCAGTTTTGACACACATTTGCTTACTGCAAACTACTTTTAAGCATTAACTTTCTACTCAGTGGCCTCTAGCCAATGGGATTAATGAGGCCATCTTCAAGACATCTTATAGAAATGAATGAAGAACTTTTCAATGGAGATCAGGTTTTCTCTGTTTGCAATGGTTCCTCTGGCTCCAACTGAAGCTAAAAATGGGCTAGCCTGGGATTATTGATACAAATGGGCTTTCCTCAAGTTTCTTGCTTTGCTTTCTATATTGTCTTCCCTTTGGCCAAGTGGCCTGACCTACAAGTTTGTTTCCATTTCTTTTGGTATGGATCAGTGTTTCTTAAAAATAGTCTTTTTGTAAGATCTTCAGAGAGTTAAGAAAAATTACTTCATATGTGATTGGATTCAACCCTTTGCTCAAAAGTTATGAGGTTCAGATTGGATTTCACCAGTGAATTGGGAAGTCTGTTCAGCTTCAAATATATTTCCTGCATAATACATAGGTGATGGCAAGATTAGATCCCAAAGATGATTGAGTCTCAGAAGTGGAACAAAAAAGGATTTGAAATCAATATGATGGAGATGTTCATTTCTCATTCTAAAACTATGACTGTAAACAGCTCTGATACGATGGTTACATAAAAGCAAAATAGAATTGGTAAATCTACTCAAAACCGTGGGAACAGAAAACATATTCCATATGCATGTGATTGACTAAACTATGATTTACTTGTTTATGATAATACCAATGCTAAAAGTAACAAAGCTGAATTTGTTCAGTCCTTTGAATGTATTCACTCATTTAAGTCTCACAACTCTATGAGGTAGGCACTGTTATTATTCCTAATTTATAGGTTAGGAGACAGGCAAAAAGACACAGACTTACATAAAGTCATAACTGAGGGTAGGGCACTCTCTGAAACGATTTATTAAAGGGAATAATGCAAAGTGAGTATCATTTTCATTTGTCATTTCTCCAAGACACCATAATTCCAAAATTCATCTAATGTTCATCTATACATGCATTACTAACCAAGTTATTTTAATAATAGCCAAGTACTGTCTCACATATCTAACGATTGTTGAAAGAAATAAAAGCAAACTTATTGGTATTCTGACTAGATTTGATGTATTTTTTTTTTTTTTGGTACCAGGTATTGAACTTAGGACCTTGCACTTGTGAGGCAGGCATAGTGCCACTGAGCTAAATCCCCGGCCCTATTCTGACTAGATTTGTTTCCATTGATAATTTTTTTGTTTTGGTACTGCGGATAGAACTCAGGAACTTGGACATGTGAGGCAGGTGCAGCACCACTGAGCTAAATCCCCGGCCCTCTCATTTTGAAAAAGAAAATTATAACTGTGGAAAAATACACATGCTAAGTCCTATATATATATAGTATGTATAAACTATCATTTAATACTTAAATAATCCTATATGGTGGATATTATAATCCACCATATTATAATATTATAATATACCTCTCAGTTGTTCAAGTAAGGCTAGAGATGCCTGAGCGAGTTTGGCAACCTGCCTAAGAGCCTGGGCTTAAAACACTTGCTCTTGAACCTGGCTGCACCTCTTTTTAGTCCAGTATTAATTGAACTATATGAAATTCCTAATGTGTACATATATGTAGGTATCCATATATGGTTTATCTCAGATATGTAAGTTTATCGAGACCTTTCTGTGGCCAGCTGTACTGGTGTTATGAGACATCCTTTATTTTATACATATATCATTTCTATGTTTAGTCTACTGCATAATTAAGAGCAGCCAATGATTGTTTGCCTGCTGTGGTGACCATCCATTCATTATTTTTACCTACTTTAGTTATCTGCTTTTGTTTACATCTATTTTTTTAAATATTTATTTTCATAGAACCAGGCAGAAAAATGTTGAAAGTAAAACACTTAATCACTACATGGGGGAGATGACAGCCTGCTTTGCTGAGTCCTAACTGCCATAGAAGAAGTTACGAATAGGTTTACAAAGAGCTCCAATGGGAGAAATGAGATATTATCAACAGTTGTTTAGTTTTCAAACACAGGTTGGCTAGTTTGTTTAAAGTTAACTTCAAGTGAATTAGTGGCATCTAAAAAGGAATATAAAAATTAAAGCACAAATATAATTTAGGCTCTGACATTTAATTAAACCTTCTTCCTCCATTATATTAAACAAAAAATAGTTAAGGCAGTGTTCATTAGTGAAGCAATGGCAAACATCATGATAGGTAATTTTTATTGAACACTTTATCAAATATTTATTAAGTGCTATATTTTTATTTAATTGCCAAATAAGTATTAACTCATTACCACTCATTTATTTTATAGAAGAAATATCTGTTCAGAGAGGTTAAAAACTTGTTCAAAGTCTTAGTTTTAATTTTCTCCTTTGTTAAAGCTACACATTTTTCAGTTCTAAAGTTAAATCTATGTATTGCTAATAATAGGGAAATGATGAAAAAATTACTTAATTTTCACTTCAATTGTAAACATTTTTCATCTCTGCTAATCTGCATTTATAAGTGTTATAGTGGCTTTAACTTTGAACATCAATGTAAATTTAATACGTGGGAATCTAGCTGCAATAACATTTTTTGCCTAACAGCATTTCTAAATGAGGGAATGGGGTTCATTTAACCTAATAAGTGAATATTCTTTGTAATAAAAGTATAAATATAACTAATTTATAAACTTGCTGATCACTTGTCCTAGCTGAAGATTTAATTTCTCTTTGGCCTGTAAACTCAGTCCAATTTCTTTCCACATTTATAATTTCAAGAGTCACATCTGCATGGACTTATGTTAAAGCAAATTTATAGGCTGTCACAGTGAACTTCTATGCTACTATGTTTTCATGAGGTAACCCAATTTCCAGGTGAAAATGGAACTTTATCATATTACTTATTTATTTATTTTTTTGGTATTGAACCCAGGGCTTTATGTATGCTAGGCAAGTGCTTTACCACTGAGCTACAACCTTGTCCTTTTTTAGAAATCTTATTTTGAGACAGGGTCTCATGAAATGAGCCAAGCTGGGCTCACACTTGCAATCTTCCTGCCTTATCCTCCTGAAATATGGGATTATAGGCTTGTGCCACTGGGCCCAGTTCATGTTATTTTTTTGTACCATATTCTTTTGACCTAATATAAAAGAAGACATGAAAAGAACAGTTTGTTCTTCAAAAGAGAAGTATGAAAATGCAAAGGGCATATGAACCAAAACATGCTTTCAAAAACAAAGGTATAGTCAAGAATTGGGAATTGTGCTCATAATTCAGTTTAGGCTGCTCTTTCTCATTCTGCATAATAGGAGGTGGTACAAGTTTAAATAACCAGCTGATACTTAAGCATTCTGCTTTTTTTTGAAAGTGCATAAAAAGGAATCAATTGCTAACATATTAATTTAAATTTTATAGGATTGTCCATGTCCAGATCCTTTAACTGTGCTCTGAAGCTAAAATTCATGCCAGGTAATACTATGATGTTTATAAATTAAAACTAATATTTTTCTTTAATATTGTCTTTGCAGATTCACAAACATTAGATTCACATAAGATATCCACACATGCAACCGAGAAGCAAAACAATATAAAGATGAATAATCATTTTAGAATCGCAAGAGTTTCACCCAGTTATGCCATTCACATTCCTTATGGTGACTTGGGGACCTCATATGACATCAAAATAAAAATGAGACTTTTGCCACTTTACTTTTTACAGCTTGAACAATTTAAAAGAACATAAAAGGAAATAGTCTAGGACTTCCCAGACTAAAATGTGAAAACTTTCAGCAAATTCATTGCTTTTATTAAAAGAATTCACCAGGAGTTCAGCTCTTCCACTCCATCTAACTTGTCCTTGAATTCATATGAAGTTAATATGGACTCAGGATTTGCAATTAACAGTAAAGTACTATGTAGTATTTTGCCTGCTTATCAGAGACTGGCCTTTTTCACCAGCTGCATTGTTGTCTACTTTAAAGGCAAAACAAAATAAAAATAAAATTTCCTCTTATGTTCCTCTTAAGGGTCAAATTAATTTGTATACCAGGTAAAATGAAAACATGCCAAAGAAACCTTTCTAAAGCAACTAAGAGGATGAGATGCGCCACTGCTGGGAGACTTAGCTCGCTCCTCAGCGCTTTGGTGGGAGACAGGAACAGTCAGGGTTAGCAGGAGCAATGGCAAAAGCCACAAGTCAGTAAGCTTGGGGGTGGGAATGGGGAATAATACTTTCAACGGCACTGGATAAAATCAAATTGCTGTCCAGAAGGCAAGGGGGGAGGGAAGGCAGCTTCACAAGCAAAAATATAAACATAAAGGGTAGCTACCAAGAGAGTCATGTTTCTCAAAGACACACGCCTGTCAGCTTTCTCCTGTGGAAAGGGGTTAAAGCTTTTAAATGAACTGGTGTGATCAATGCAAACTCAAAAGGACCAAAAAAATGAATGTAGAAACAAGAACAGTAAGTGATGGAGTGGTGGCTACCTCAAGTTCTCGCAGAATTCCTGACTGTCCACAGGTTTCTAAATCCTCCAGTGCCTGAGACCAGAAGTTCTCCTCTTGCTCAGCCTCTGCACTGTCCGAAGCTCCTGCAAAACTGTCATCAAGAAACATAGTCTGGGTTAAGGACTTGCCAAATGTAATTTTTCCCCCTGTATCTAGAATCTCTCTCCTTTATCTCCTACAAAGAAGAGAAAGAGATTCACTTTGGATCTGTCTTTCATCCAAATGTGGCCTCCAAGTAAAGCCAGCTCCAAGGTGAGGATCCTTTAGGAAATGCAGTGTCATGAGGAATGAAAGGAAGGTCCATCCATTGTCCTACTGACTGAATTTCAGGTTATTCATGGCTACTGCTGGGTGAGCCGCAACAACATGGCTGTGTTGGGATGGACTGAAAATACATTTCAGTTGCTTATCTACAGGAAAATATGAATCTCTTAGAGAAAAATATTTGCTCCACTTATTATAAAGAATATTATAAATAAATTAAGTGCTATCACTTTTTATACATTTCTTTTAAAATATTTTGAGAAGAAAATGCTAAGACATACTTATTCATTAAAACTCTAGGACTCTTGATGTATCTTAAAAAAAAACATAGAATTTAATGTGAAACTGCCTTTCAAAGGCAAGGAGCAGAATCTGGCTGTCCCAGAGTGAGCACTTTCCTGAGGGTTACCATTGTTGCATTAAGGTTGCCCCGACTCTTTTCTGTTGTATGGTAGTACTTGGCTATTACTGGTCAGGCAAAAGTTTTAGCACCTTGCCGTGTGACCATTATGGATGACTATGGTGGCTTCAAGAAGCTATGCCAAACATATGTACTACTGGAAGTAGAGAAGCTCAGCTCTTGCCCAGATGACCATGAAGTCACCTTGGACAGGGAAGCAGCAGATGGAAACCTTACCCACTGGCTGTGGACCGGTCCCAGCCTTCATTACTCAGCCCTCCATCTGGGTAAGTCTGGCTTCGTGACTTGGGGACCGGAGACAAGCTGCCTCTCTGTTTCGGACTCCTCCAGTCATAGGTATTGAAATTGTATCCTGGGGCCTGAAAACTGGTGCCTAAAACATAAACAAAGTGTTAGGACTAGGCTTGAACATTATGTCATCCATTGAGAAATGACATTGTTGGCTGGTAGAGGGATCAAACAGCAATAGCATCAACAACAATAACAACAATGACCATGCATGCAGTGAGTGTTCATCATGCACCAGGACTGCACTAGATGTTTTATTTACATCACTTATTTATTCTTCATAACTAACTCTGAAAGTAGGTGCCATTACTATTTGCATTTTACAGATGATTTAAAGGTTTGGAACAGTGGTTCCAATACCTAAGGCTATTTGCACTTTGCTTAGGAGGGTCAGTTTTCAGATCCTCAACTTCCATATGCACTTAGACTCCGGACTGATGCAGCTGACACAGGGCCGGGGACCGATATGTGCCAATCCCCTTTCTCACCTCCCCTTTCACAATTGGACTCCTGCCACATTACAAATGAAAGACACATTTCTCATCCATGTCAAACCTCTGAAGGTACTTGGCCCTGAGAAATAAAAAATTTCAGCTGCCAGATCAAGGGATAATTTGGGAAAGCCTTGTTCTTATGAGAAAGTCTCCAAGAAACAGGGTCTTATTTAAACCAGGCAAACACATGATAAAGCCTCTTCTCTCTCTGTCTGTCTTCAGAAGTATGAAGGATGTGTCAGAGCAAGGAGGCTGATGCATTATTATGTTTATTTGAATTGCAAAATGAACACTGACTTTTTTCTGACAAGAAGTTAAGTCTGATTAGCTTGATGGGTGAAAATGAGAAATGGCTCTGCCAATTAGGTTACATAATGGACATTTTCTATGAGTTTGAGCTAAGTCTATGGCACCAAGATTTTAATAGAAATATATTTAATGTATATTTCAAACAAAGTAGGTATTTAAATTTGAAGAGAAAACATTTATAAAATAACTTTAAATATGTGATGATGCATGCAGTTTTTCAAAATTTTGAGGACTCAAAAGGGAGAACAGAGGTTTGGTTATAGGTCTGATTGCATAGCCTGTACTGTGACCATCTCACATTGCTTCATCCACCTCATAAGGTTGTGCATGTGCGTGTGTGTGTCTGTGCGTTTATATGTGTGAACTGGATTGCAATACAACGTATATTTCTTATTGTGTTTAAAATACTTACTACAGAAAATGGGCTGGGGTTCCCATTTTCAGATATAATTAAATGGCCTGATGACATAAGACGACTCTGTCTCCATGACATACCTTCTTTATCCTCCCCATTTACTCTTCCTCCACTTGTCACTGGACCTTATTATAATGCTACCCTGTCTACTAGTTAGATCCCAGGGAAAACAGGCATTCCAAAGGGTAATCCTTTCTGTTCCAAGAAATTAGGGCAAGGCTCACCACCACATGATGGAAATATTCCTTCTGTTGTAGGATACCAAGGAGTAGAAACTCTTGGGGGCAGAGGAAATATTTGCAGCTCAATAGCTCAGTCTCTTTTTCTCAGATAACTGTAGGAGAATGATTAGCCATTTGCGAAGAAGTCATATGTTGAATTCAGGAAACATACATGAATCTTCTCTTGAAAGGGACTGACTGGATAATACTAGACTTTATCCTGGCTCTCTTTGATGGGCTATTGATTTTCTCCTTCCAAACCAAACTGAGCAACCCCAAATATGTGAAGCCTCACTTCTTCTGATACCAAAAGAGTAAAAGGAAGTTGATACCTAACTTTCATCAACTGGCTTTAGCCAGAGTCTCAGTATGTAGTCCAGGCTAGCCTCAACTTGTGGCAACCCTTTTGCTTCAGCCTCCCAAGTTCTGGGATTACAGGCATGTGCCACCACACCTGGCTCACAAACTTTTAAAAAGCCAGATGCTCACTGGTGGTGTCTCCTGAGTGGGTGTCCTTTTCTGATAAGCATTAACCTATATGACCATCACATTCCTTGGGGGTAATTTCAGCATGCTTTGGACTAGGAAGATGAATTTTTATTTCATTTATTTATTTATTTGGTACGGGCGATCGAATTCGAGACCTTGCACTTGTGAGGCAGGTGGCAGAACCACTGAGCTAAAACCCCAGCCCAGAAGAGGAATTTTTAAATTTTCTTTCTAATCACTGTTTCTCAGTAGTTCTTGGTGACTTAGGCAAGAGTCTAAGGGTGGGGCCGAGCAGATGTACAGCACCATTACTAGGAAGACGCTTACCTCACAAGGCATGTGTATTCATAACAAGGATACCTTATCTTAAGAAGTACTATAAAATGATTACTGGATTACCCCAGAGCAGAGAAAGAAAAGGGGATAAGATTCAAATCTTTCACTAAGGTGTAAATGTAGAAGAATTGGGTCTGGTTCCAGCACTTCCCTAGTTCATGCTATGCTGACCCAAAGATACAAAGAGGAAAAGACATAGGTTCAAGTCTCAGCTCTGCCACTTCCTTGGCATCCTGGGCCAAAGACTTTCAATCTGAAATGAGGATAAAGATGTATACCTTACTGGGTTGATATAAGAATTAAGGAGAATAAACATACACAAACCTTTATGAAAGTGCCTAGAGCTCTGGACGGTTTCAAGGATCATAGACATCCATTGCTGTTCATTTACTAAGCCTTTCAGCTTCTCCAGATCTCAGTTTCCTTATCTATGATGCGGGGAGGCTAGGAAAGGAGGTGAGCCCAGCATTACTAATTCAGTGAACATGTGGGGGGCCTCTTAAGGGCTGGCTGCCATAGAGGGACTTAAATGCAAAGATAAATAAAGCTAGGTTCCTGTCCCCAAATGCTGCAGAGCTTAGAGTAGGGATGGAAAAAAGAGGATGAGAAAGAGGCCTAGAGTTCTAATGGCCTGTGAAAGTCTTATCCTTTTAGTGTGAATAAATGACATGGAAGAACAGAGAACTGTTAGGGGTTAGAAGGTCATGAACGGTGACATGTACATTTGGACTTAAATAATACTTCAACATTTACTAGGTCGCAGAATCAGTGAGAATGCCATCAAGTAGAAGAGGGAGACTGGCAAAGATGAAGTCCTGGTAAATGCTGCTCCCCACCCTCAATTCCATCATTGGGTTCCTGCTCCTGAGGAGGGAAGAGAACTCAGGAATACCCTGGTCCCTCTTGCTGGCTGTGTGTATCCTCCCAGTCTTCTGGAGCAAAGGGATTTGACTATCTGGTCAGTTTTGGAAAAAAGCATTGGCTTGTGCATTCAGCCCCTTCCCAGCTTTCTCTTGGCTCATTCTAAGAGTGGATCCCCAAGGATGGAAGTTATGTGTTAAGCACAGTAAAGTGGAAATATTAAAAATGATCCCTAATAAGATTGTGGAGTTATACATCAAGACTGAAATGCTTACAGCTTTATAATTTAAATCACTATACTTTTAGGATTTTTAGTTCTATTCAGCTGAACCAAACCCAATTGAGTTTGCTCTATAAGAACTGACTTTTCTCTCTCTTTAAATCCTAATGTCTGTACTTGGGTTGGGAATAGGGAATAATCCTGATTTTGGCTGCAGACCAATCTAGTTTTTTTAGAAAAAA